TCGAGGCCAGCCTGGTCTCCAAAGTGAGTTCCAGGAAAGGCGCAAAGTTACACAGAGAAACTCTGTCTCGAAAAACCAAAAAATAAAAATAAAAAAAAAGATAGTGCAAAGAGCTCTTGCATAGCCCTTATGAATTCCTCTTATCAGTACAGAGCATTCCTCATCAATACATCTGACGGGAACCCTAAAGAAGGCCTCTAGCCTCACCTGCCCTACCACCAGCTAGCCAGGCAGCTGGCCAGTACCCTCACCATCCCCTCTGCTGACAGCACTCAGAGGCAACGGTCGCCTAAGTTGTTCTTCAGGAACTTGGAGCCATGTCTGTCTGCCTCAAGTGGGCCTCACCAGTGTGACGTATTTGACACTTTTTAGATCACACTAATGGTGTGATTTTCCTCAGCACGAGTCCCGTGAGGAGGATGACTATGCCTGGAGTGGATACTATTTTCACTTGTTTCTCTACACTCCAGGCCACCCTGTCTCTTTCCTAAGACCGCTAATCCTACCCCTGGGCAGGGGTAACTGTGACTCAGGGCTCTCGTCTCTTGGGAAGAAACTCTTTCGCAAAACTTGGTTCAGCGACTGTCACATCAACGAGCCATTACTGCTGGACAACTCTTAACAAAATTCGTACTTTATCCAGACTTCATTCTCTCTCACCTGCTCTCTCTACAGTCTCATCCAGGAAGTGGCATTTCACTTAAGCATCTCATCTCTTCCTGACTATAGCATTCTCTCAAACTCTTTTGTTTTTTCAATGTCCTCAATGATTTTCGAGATTACTACTGGTGAGAGGTTCTTACGATATATTGTACGAACTGGGAACTGTCCGTGTTTTTCCTGTAGCAAGACCGTGATTACGGATTTGGGTAAAGTGTTGTTCTCACATGAAGGACACACTGTCCACATGACTTATGACTGAGGCAATGTTTGCCAGGTTTCAACAAAACAAACTCACTTCTCTACCCCATATCCTTTCTGAATTATTTAGGGAAAAGTCACTATGCAACCCACAGTTATGAAATTCTCCTGAGTTATTTGGAGAGACTTTCCTTTCTCCCATCTATTTCCTCATTTGAGCGTGTGTTCATTCACTCGGAGTTACAATTCAGTATCCCTTTATTCATTCATTTTGTAGCTGAGATTATTCCCACTTTGGTCAGTGAGGACTCTGTTGGCTCCTGAGCCGTGTGGCTCTGTGGCTCTGGGCTGGTGACAAACTTCCCCACTTTGTGGAAGGTACTAGGAGACACTTCAGGCCCCATCTTGGATATTCTTCTTGTCCCAGGCCTAGAGTCAACACTTTCCTCAAGGAACCTTGGCACTGAAGAAAAACTAGGAACCAAAATCCAAACAACAAACATATTTGTTTTTACATGCCAAACAGTAGACTTAAACCCAAAGAACTTAAAACAATAAATAAATATTTTGACAGCATTAAATCTGGAGAAACAGAAAAGTTCCATTTCTAAAATTCAATGGGAAACTGTGGGCATGTTTTACAATCTAGAAAGAAATATGCTTTCATGTGATAGTCATTCTTTGAAAGGTTTTTTTTTTTTTTTTTTAAACTTTCATGTAGTTTTGGGGTTTCTGTGTTTTTCAGTAAGAGACCAGTTTTCTTTTTCCAAAGCCAGCAGATGTTTTCTCAGTACCCTATATCTTACGTCCTGTCTAAAGGATACTTACATGATAGAGCCTGAGTCCAGAAACTCGGTATCAATAACCCATGCATAGAGGAGTAGATTAAGGGACTGTTTCTGGTAACTGAGAACCCTCCCCAGACACACTCTCTCTGTTTCCCCTTGGTGTCATGGGAAGTAGACGTGTGACAGGGGCAGGAAGTACTTGATTACCAGTGGTCATCCAACAAAAAGGAATCTAGCTCTGCTTGGAACTCTAATCCCATCAGTTCAGAAAACGGTAGACCACTTCAGGATGACAACCATCATGTGTTCTATTCAAACGGACCCACTAGGGCTTCTGAAGTGTATGTCTGGTATCTCAACATACTCTGGCCCAAGCCAGAAGTACTGATGTCCATCTGTAGACCCAGCTACCAACTCTTTGGAGGCTGAGGTCACTAGCTTGAAAGTTGACAGCCAATCTGAGCCACATAGCAAGATCATGTGTCAAAAAAAAAAAAAAAAACCCTCTGTGGTTTAATAATAAAAGGAGGCAGCTGGAGTTCTGAGAGAAGAAAACATTCTCATCCAAACCCGACTCATCCTGTGAGGAAATAATTGACATCCCTGGCATACCTGTGAGGAGGCTAAGGACACTTGCCTCCGTTTTCAACCGCGCACCTGCAGCGTTAAGCTGACGAACACAAGTTCCGAGTCTATTTACATGTGTACGTTAGTCATGAGAGGCTGAAGTCTCAGGTACACTGAAGCCCAAACTTCATGTTTTCAGTGACTATCTGGAATGTTAAAATGCATTCCAAGGGGAGAAAAAAAAAACAACAGGACAGACTAAAGATAAGGGGTGCTTCTTAAATCCCGGTATGGTCCATGGGCGTCAGAAGACAGCCTTTGGCTTGGGCTTGGGTCTTGATTTTGCTCTTCTCTAGTTCCGTGGACAGGTAAGTCGCACTGTGCTTTCAACTTCCATCCATCTACCACACACGGGGGGGGGGGGGGGGAGGGGGAGTTGGTTGGCTATCACTACTATGGCTCCTTAACCTTCTTCACTACTGGCTAAGACTCAGAGGGGTGTTCTTAAAGCTATCCAAACTACTGGGCTTGGTAGCACAGGCCTGGAACCCCAGTGACAAGGGGGTGGAGACAGGAGAATTGCAATTTTCAAGGTCTCACTGGGCTATGGACTAAGTTCAAGGCCAGCTTGAGCATTTTGTTAAGACCCTCTCTCAAAATAAAAGCTAGAAAAGGGCTGGGGATTAGACCTCGGAGTACTGATGGAGCATCGGTACAAGGCCCAAAGTCCTCAGCACTGCTTAATAAACCAATATCCAAGCCAACAGTGTCCAACACAACCCAACCAGAGTTTGGATGACTGTGTGGCATTTTTTAAAAAAATTAATCATCTATTTATTTTATATCCCGGCAGCAGCCTCTCCCCCCGACCCCACTCCATTCTCTGTTCCCAGTTCCCTCTCCCCACTCCCCCACCTCCCATCCCCAACCCCCTCCTCTTCGGTCTCCATCCAGGAAAGGGCAGATCTCCCATGAGTATCAATAAAACATGGCACATCAAGTTGCAGTACAGTAAGACTAAGCCCCTCCCCATGTATTAAGCGTGGGCATGGCCTTTTTAAATTGTGTCTAGTAGCCACAAGCTACAAAGCGAGCCCTGAGTCCTGAGATAGGAAGGAGGAGGGGCCTGTGAGGGATGCTAGCTATCAGTCCGAGGCTATGCTAGGTCCACCTGGGGTGCCGCAGACTCAGTGTGGGAGCCCCAGCCCTTGTTTCCCAACCCTTATCTAGATGAGCACACTCATGGAGGAGTCATGTTGCAAGGTTTGTTTACAGTAGGTGGTTATATTGGGAGGTATGCCGCCCTCCCAAAGGAAGAGAACTGGAGGTGGGGGGGGGGCGGAGCGGAGGCCTTGGCGTGGCTGCTGTGGGCACCTCTGGGCAGAGCGGCAGGATCTGTGATTTTGAACTGGGGCTTCTTTAACAGGTGACACACGTTCTACTCAGAGCGCCAGGGTGGAAACCAAGATGTAGACTGCAGTTCCTTGTTCCCTGCCCCTCAAAGCTCCAGCGTTTTCCCTTTCAAAAGATGGACAGACGCTGAGAAGAGCAACCAAACCGGCCTTCTCATCGAAAGAATGAATTATAGGTAACAGTTGTTTTCATTAAAAAAAAAAATTACATGTCAAATGATTTACAAACCAGAGGAAGCAACAACAACAACAACAACAACAACAACAAAAAAGGCAAATGTTTAAGCGTCTGAGCACACTTCCTGCCAGAAGGACTTCCTGTTCTGGGAACCGCAGATGCAGAGAAACATCCGCTCTGTAGCCACAGCCTGTGCAGCATAGACCACTTCTCTGTTCCACTTACCCTTCTTCCCCGACGAAGGTGACATACAGTTTATTCCTCTGCAGGTCTTTTCTGGAGTAGCCCATAATCTGATTGAAAGCATCTTCCAGCAGGTGGTCCCTTCGGATAATTAACCTGTCCCCAGAGAGACAATGTGAAAAGTGCATTAAGAGATGATTTCCGATTCCTTATCTTTCTTGACACTGAATGTCTATTTACCACAATTAACTAGGTGAGGAGTGAGGTTGCTTAATGCCATTGCTGTCTGCACTTGAATACACGTCTGTCTCTAACACTTTAACAGCAAGAGCACAAGTTACACAAGAGAATCACGGGTCAATCCCTGGCCTGTAAAAAACCCGAGAGTCCTTTCTGAGTGGCCAAGGCATTTATCCTAGAAAGAAAGAGGTCATCACACACACACACACACACACACACACACACACACACACACACACACAGAACTAAAGAAAGAACAACACTATAAAGTAATCCTTTAAGGCTGGAATGCACCTAAGCATGGAATTCAATTATTGAATGTTCAGTGAGACAAAGGAGGGTGCATGTGCGTGCGTGCGTGCGTGTGTGTGTGTGTGCGCGCGCGCGCGTGTGCGTGTGTGCGTGTGCATGTGTGTGTGCGTGTGCATGTGTCCTACAAAGCAAGAGAGTTTACAATTGTACTTAAATTAAGTGAATCTTGAGACTCCCCAAGGGGGAGGATGAAAATGGACGACGCTCGTGACAATCTACTGTGATGACGGCAAAGTCATCTTCCACAGATGCCGACTCCCTCTCAGTGTCAACGGTGATGACAGGGAGCCTGGACTTGGGAAGACCTTGGTGATTCCAGTATGAGAAAAGCACAGTTCAGAGAGATACGGAATTGGGGTTGGGCGGATGTGTTGGGAGGTCCAGGAAAGTGGAACTGATTATGCCTGGGCAGTAAGCATGGAGGCTGGTCCTCCCTTGGGCACTCAGCGCACAGGGTGACTTGCTTGTTTTTTTTTTTTTTTTTTTGAGACAGGGTTTCTCTGTGTAGTTTTGGGGCCTGTCCTAGATCTCATTCTGTAGACGAGGCTGGCCTCGAACTCACAGAGATCCGCCTGCCTCTGCCTCCCAAGTGCTGGGATTAAAGGCGTGTGTCACCACTGCCCGGCTTTGTCTGTGGTTTTACACAGTCCTAGCTTGATTAAAAAAAACCATAAGCTTACTAGTGCTTAACTCCTGAACATTTTACATCATTACAGTATAATTTATAAACTCCGAAATAACCATGCCCATTAAAATAAAGACTGCTTCCTACCCATTCACCATCTATAAACGTGGTTTGTGTCATTTCTACTTACTTTAATTTCCCCGGGCCTTGTCCATATCCTTTTGTTTCTAACTTCCTGTAAAAGTTCCTCAGTTTGGCTTCGAAATCTCTCTTGTAAGGGGCTGGCGCCCGGGCATTGGCACGCTGAGTACCTGCAGGCAACCACAGAAGAACAATCTGGATCTGTGCCCTGTGCCAGCACCGTCACAACACCATGAAAGACCACCACAGTTAGCAAAGGAAACTGAGGCACTGCCTTCAGTTTCTGCATCACACACACACACACACACACACACACACACACACACACACACACACACATATACACACACACACACAAAGGCCTGAACGTAGCTTAAGGAAGGTCTTATGAGAGGCTCTTTGTCGCTTTTCGACTGAGAATGAAGATCCTGTTTAAACTGCCAAATATGCTCACGTGTTTCTCAGATATGTTCCCCTTTCCATCCAAACCAGAGTGAGTCAAAGAGTTATTCATGTCTAAGGACAACTATTCAGGGCGGAATATCTCTGTTTGCTGTTGAAACAGTATCATGGAAACTGTAAAGGAAGTCACAGGAAGCCCCATGAAGATGTTCTTAGATGTGCATGACATTTAAGGATGATTTTTAGAGATACAATTACATTTATTTTACACTGCAGAATAAAATGATTATTCTAAAATCAGAATTCAAGCCTAGCTGTGAGAGGAATTCATATCTTGGAGTTGCACAAAGAATAAGCAGTATTATTATTTACTGCATTCTCACATGAGGCTCTGCTGACTCCCCACAGGAGGCCTTACCTTCTAGTAGGAGACAAGAGGGGGTTGGTTGGGGGAGGGGAGGCTGGAGGAACGGGAGGAGGGAAGAGGAGGAGGACCTGTGATTGGTATGTAAAATGAATAAAAAGTTTTCTTAATAAAAAAATATTTACTGCATTCTCAATGTGTCAAATACTGTCAATAGCTACATATTAAAAGTATGCCGTTTATTACTAATAAAGTGTTATTTATAAGGTATAAATAGGACATGGCTTCTTCCTCTTTCCACAGAAAAATCCATGTGTCACAGGTGATTAGGTAGCATGCTGGGATGTCAGCCTGGACACAGGACAAAGGCAGAAACTAAATTATAGTCTTGTCCTTACACAGCATGCCAGTTCCATGAGATTGCTTTTCCTTCCTTTTTTTCTGGGTGTGTGTGTCTGTCATGTATGTGCGTTTGTTGTTATTTGTTTTGTTGAGACAGGAGCTTGCTAGTTACCCTAGATTGGCCTTGGATTTTCCAGCCTCCTGCCGTGGCCTCACAGTGCGTCAATTACAGGCTTGAGCCATGGTGCCTAGCAAAAATTTCCTTAACAAATGAGTTAGCTAGGATGGTTATTTACTGCTAATCTGGTGTTATCGTCAATAATGGATGCCCTGGCTGAGAAGGCAGAAATGAAACATATCAAATAATTAAGTCTTAAACTGGAATGGATACAAACTGTAGAACAGAAGAGATAAAACCATAGCCCTAGGGCTATACCCAGCCTCACAGTCTACTGTTTGCCCCCTACATTAAAAAAAAAAAAAAAAAGGGCTAGATTAGTTGCATTTAAAAATTATTATTAGATTTCAAGTAAAAGAAAAAGAAGTTTTTCTCTTGAAAGTTAGATGGAATCTTACAAATGGCATTAACCTCCTGGAGGAGACAGGTGGATGCTCCCATGGACTCCACTCCCTCACATCCACTCAGGGACACAGGCTGGCTGCCTGACCTCCTGGGTATTCGCCTTTGAGATCAGTGGTAGAGAAGATAATAGTAATGCCACAGAAAAGCAATGTGTGTGCGGAGATCAGAATGGACAAGGCCGCAGGGAGGAGCTTAGTTGGAGGCTAAGTGGTTAATTGCCAAGTCCATAGGATGCGGAGTCACCATGGAAACAGGCCTCTGGGCATGTCTGGGATTTGGAATTTCTAGTTCTGGTTAAGTGAGGTAGGAGGACCCACCCTAAATGTCAGTGACACCATCCCAGGGTCTGGGGTCTGGGAGTGAATTAAAAGAAGAGGGCTTGGTACCTGAAATCCATCTCTCTGCTCTTTGACTGGGGATGCAATACGAACAGCCACCTGCTCCTGCTGCCCCGTCCTCCCTGACACGATGGACTGGATCCCCTTGAACTTTAAACTCAAACAAACCTTCCCTCTCTTAAGTTCCTTTCTGTCCGGTATTTGGTCACAGCAATGAGAAAATTAAGTAACACTAAACATATAAATAGAAAAGAGTCTGAATTTTATTCTGGTTCAGAGAGGCAAGAACTAGACTAAATACTGAACGTGTGTTCAACAGATGCCGAAGACGCTCCATAACCGAGAGCATGGTGGGCATGCTGGAGAGACAGGGGCTGGAGCCAATCAGAAGAGAGGTTTAGAAATTCTGATGCTGGTGTTGGGAATGGGGGCGGGGCGCGGGGCGCACCTTTACAGAATACCGAGGAAAGGAAAGGGAATAATGCTCAAGTGGTATTTGATTAGAGAAATTCTCAGCGCAGGGTGTAGGGCAGATGAAGGGTGGGAAAGAGGAAGAAGGGCGGAAGGGCGGAGAAGCAGGCGTTCATCCTGCAGTTGAGGCCTGAGGGCACAAGAACTTAGTCAGGAGTGTGGTGACTCAGAGGAACCCCGAGCATGCGAAATACGAATTAGGAGAAAAGCAAGGGGGAGGAATGGGAAGCTCTGATGATAGCAGCGTTTCTTAATGATAATGATAGCTATTGTTTGATAAGCACCTGCCATACATTAGGGATAATGCGCTTTCCATAGGGGGAGTCTTGAGAAATCCTCACAGGGAGTCTATGAAGTGGCTATTAAAGGTTCTCATCATCACTTTGCTACTGAAGGAAATGAGGAAGCAGCTTCCTGTCCAAACCCTATGCCGGGGACAGGAATGTGGGATTTGACAAGGTCCACTGGAGGCTAAAAGCAGTGTGGGGAATGATGTTGGTAGCCAGGGACACAGGAAGCTGTGTAAATATTGAGTTGGATGTGACAGTTATGGATACTCTACCAACCCTGGACAGGGGAGCTCTGGAGTTTGCATGAGAGGTCAGTTAATTCCTGTGGGTGAAATGTTAGTGTGTATGAGAGATCAGTTAATTCCTGTGGGTGAAATGTTAGTGTGTATGAGAGATCAGTTAATTC